CCCCAAAACCCCAAAACCCCAAAACCCCAAAACCCCAAAAAAAACAATATAAATTGAAAAAACCATCATGAATGTAACTAAAACTTCTTCCTCTCCCTTTCTATTTATACTTAAATCCTTCAGAATTCAATTCTAAACGCTCAGAAAACCTCCAATTCCCCCTCAGATGCCTCCCAGATCCTAAATATACCATCACCTAATTCTTTCAAACATCCCACCACAAGTAAGCATATCCTCTTTATTTCCTACTAACCCCTCTTCTATTCATTAAACCTATAATATAGCTACTCCCACTACAGCCAAGAAGCCAGCTAAGCTACGAAAAAGTAAGCTTCATTAATATTAACATTCTCCATTGATTCGACTAAAATTTAGGCAAAAACCTCACGTAAGAAAGCACTTGGATTACCCATAGTGTTGAACTAGAAGCCAATGAGATTAAAAGACTTTCTAAATTGATTGAAATTGATGTTATTAGTAAGATAGGAGCAACGAAGAAGATGGAAAGAGTAAGAGATAAGTGGGAAAATAAGAAGAAAGAGGAAGAATTAGAAAAAGTAAGAAAATTGGTTTCAGAGTGGATTTATGGGAAGTTGGAGGGGGTTTAGGGAGTGTAGAATTGGATTTTGAAGTAAATGAGTATAACCTTGTTTTGGATATGATGAGATTGAGTATAGTTGAGGAAGAAAGAAATTGAAATGAAGAAAAATTATTTTGAGTAATCTTGAAGTACTATCCTAGATATCTAAAATACTGAGAAGAGAACAAAAATAACACCAAAAATAACCCACCCCTCGAATCCCAAGATCCAACCCAAAAATCCCAAATAGACCTCGACAAAATAATCAACCGTAAATCCCTCCAAAACCCGTCTAGAAGCCAGCATAATCCCCAAAGCAAACGCTAACATGAAATTCTTCCAAAACACTAAAATAAAAACCTACATGACTCAACTAGACCAAAAATACGATTTTCAAAAAATGCCTTTGATCTACTCCCAAAATTCAAAAAAACCAAAAAGTATAAATTTTAACTTAAACCTAATTTTTAGGAAACCCTAAGCGCAAATGTTTGAACTTGAGTAAAACTAGATTTTTGGGGTTTTGAATGGGGACTGGGGAAATGATTAGATTTGGAGGAAAATAGAGGGGAAGGAAGAAGAGTGAAAGGGAGTGGGAGGTAGAAGGATGGATAGGGGAGTTTGTGTGGAATTTTAAATAAGAAGGGTAGATAATTTTTAATTATGTGTTTAGCCATTCTGCAACCCTCTATTTTATATAAACAATACTAAAACCAATGCTTCATAACCTCTCTCTAGACCCCCTCCCCAGAGCCCACCCCACAGCCTCTTCACGCTCCAAAACTCGCTACAACCCACACTTATCCATCAACCCCTCATCACCCAACCCACCCTCTTTCACCCCTACCCAATCCTTCTCAACCCCCAACTCCCCTCACCTCCTCTCCAAATTCCAAAACCCTTCAGTAAATCCCCCTCCTCACCTCCAGGCAAGAACTAGTCTCCAGCCATGCATCCAAAACCCCCACTTACACTCACAGCTTGACCACGACCACGGCCACAATCAAGAAGAAGAATTGAACGTAGACCTGACTGAGCTAGAGTAAGCTGTGTGTAATTTTTAATGTAGAAGAACAAGACATATTTTAGAGAAAGGTATAGTTTTAGGGTGATGATAGCGGATTGATTGAGATCTCAGAAAGTGAAAACTAAGTTGTTGAGGAAGAAGTTTAAGAGATATAGTAGGAAGATTAATTTGATGAATTGTAAAATGAGGAGACTTGTTAAAAATGCTGAGGAAGCTCATATCAAAGAACTCGGTCTTCCTTATATTCCTATCAAAGCAACAAAGAACAGCAAATGTTAGCATAACAAAATTGTTTGAACAAATATATTAGATAGAATAAATATTTCAATATATCTTAACTACCTCGGGGTTTTGGGGTTTTGGGGTTTTGGGGTTTTGGGGTTTTGGGG